AAAAAAAAAAAATCCATGGCAATTGGAAACAACAAAAATAAATAGATGGGACTTAATTAAACTGAAAAGTTTCTGCACCACTAAGGGACCAACAACCAAAGCAAATAGACAACCTTCAGAATGGGAAAAGATATTTGCATATTACAAATCAACAAAGGCTTGATAACTAGGCTCTACAGAGAACTCAAATTAATCAACAACAAAAAAAGCAAACAGTCCCATCTATCACTGGTCAAGAGACATGAATAGAACCTTGTCTAAGGAAGACAGATGAATGGCTAACAAATGTGTGAAAAAATGCTCATTGTCCCTAATCAGAGCAATGGGAATCAAAACCCTGAGATATCACCTAAACCCAGTAAGATTAGCCCACATCACAAAGTCCCAAAGCTGCAGATGCTGGCACAGATATGGAAAGAGGGGAACACTTTTACACTGTTGGTGGGACTGCAAACTAATACTGCCTCTTTGGAAAGAAGTGTGGAGAATCCTTCAAATTAGATCTCCCATTTGACCTGGCAATCCCACTACTAGGCATCTCCCCAAAAGAAAAAATTCATTTTATCATAAGGACATTTGCACTAGATTGTTTATCGCAGTTCAATTTATAATCCCAAGATGTGAAAACAACCTAATTGTCCATCAACTCAGGAATGGATTAACAAATTGTGGTATATGCATACCATGGAATACTGTTCAGCCATTAAAAAAAAAAGGTGACTTCACATTTTTTGTAATATCCTGGATGGAATTGAAACACATTCTTCTTAATAAAGTATCACAAGAATGGAAAAGCAATTATCCAGTGTACTCAATACTAATATGAAGCTAGTAAAGTTTATGCACAGGAGAAAAATTCATTTCAGTTCAAGTTAGGGGGAGAGGTAATGAGGGGGGAGGAGGAGAGGGAAGGTAGAGTGGGCATGGTGTGGGGGTTTTGGCACACCTTTTGAGTACAGGACATAACCAGAAGAGGGACACTACCTAACAAAATTAAATATTTTGACCTGGTTGTTTGTATCCTTACATTAACCTGAAATTAAAAAAAAAAAAAAATTACCCTTATGTGGTAGTAGGTGCCTATAGTTCCAACTACTTGGGAGGCTGATTGGGAGAATTGCTTCAGTCCAGGATTTCGAGGATGCAGTGAGCTATGATAGTGCTAGTGCATTCCAGCTCAGGTAACAGAGAAATACCTTGTCTCTAAATAATAATTTTTTTTTTTTTTTTTGCAGTTTTTGGCCAGGGCTGGGTTTGAACCCACCACCTCTGGCATATGGGGCCAGCACTCTACTCACTGAGCCACAGGTGCTGCCCAATAAGAATTTGCCTTATAGATTAATAACCATATTTCCTACGTGAAAATAGACAATGAGATTGTCCATGTAAAGCATTTATAGGAGTGGCTGGAACATAGACAAATGCCTATACTTGTTGCTATTATCTGCCTTATTTTTCTTGTCATCTTCATTATTTTATGACTGCACTCAGATTTGCTAGGTTTGCACTAGATTGTTTATCGCAGCTCAATTTGAATAAATTTAAATAAAATTTGTAGCCAAATTAAATAAGTTATTCTTATTTCTATAGTATCATTTTGGTGTTTTTTGATTTTGAGAGTATTCAATAGCAGTGGCAAGTGAAGAGGAGAGTTTTAAATATCCAGTGACTCCTGTTGGGTTTCTGCTTTGTTCCAGGCTTTGTGGTGACCCAGCTGGTGACTTCCTGTGGTTCTGATGGGCACTCGATGGCCCTAACTGAAAGTGGTGAGGTTTTTAGTTGGGGAGACGGTGACTATGGTAAACTTGGCCACGGGAACAGCGACAGGCAGCGACGGCCCAGGCAGATCGAGGCATTACAAGGAGAAGAAGTGGTACAGGTCAGGGATCATATGACTGAGTTTGCCTTTGAATGAATATACTAGTTGTTGAAGAGCAATCTTGAATTTAGGCAACAGGAAATACAGGAAAAATAATATTACACAATGATTATAAGAGGGTCACTGGTTTTAGATGTTCAAATTCACTGTTGAGCTTATCAGAAGTTTGAATGGGCTTTGTGTTAGAATGGGATTTGTTTCCTGAGCCAGCTGGGTGGCCCAGGCTAGGGTGCTGTGGGCCCTTAGAAGAAACCATGTGGAGTTTGGTTTTTGTTACAAAAGCTAAGTCCATATGCATTTTCTAGAAAATAGATTAGTGATCTAAAATAATACTGTAAAATTGCACAGCACCTTAAGGTTTACAAAGATTTTCACCATTTGTTTTCTCCTTTAGTCTAAGTAAGGTCATCTGTACACAGCTAAAGAGTAGTTAATACTAATTCTAAGGTGTGCTGTTTGTTTGGTCTTCCTGAGGCTGTTGAGATAAATCAGACCTGGGAACAGGAGAGTCACTTGGGCAGGTAGAATACACGAGTCTTGAAGATCCTGAGTTTTCGGTGACATTTATGTAAAAAATCTTTATTGCTACATTAATAACCAAAACATTTATCTTTTTTTGGTAAGCTCTGTTAAATTTTTTTTTCTCTTTGGTTCTGTTTTAGATGTCTTGTGGCTTTAAGCATTCAGCAGTGGTAACTTCAGATGGCAAGCTGTTTACTTTTGGGAATGGTGACTATGGTCGTCTAGGTCTTGGAAACACCTCTAACAAAAAACTTCCAGAGAGAGTGACTGCACTGGAGGGATATCAGATTGGACAGGTATGGAGTAAGTGAATAAAATCTTCCAGCTAATATAGTTCTCATTTCCTTTACTTTCAAGACGTCCAGTATTGCCAATAGTGTTTAACCTGATGTACATTTTGTATGGTCCAATTAATAATTTTTTATTTTTTTCACCAATATGAAATTTGTCTTTTAAGTCCCTATGTTTGGTTATACAACAAACACGCAAAACCCTTATTTCAGGATGTGAATTTTTTTGTTTTTTTGGTAATTTTTGGCCATGGCCGGGTTTGAACGCACCACCTCCAGTATATGGGGCCGGCGCCCTACTTCTTTGACCCACAGGCACCACCTAGGATGTGAATATTTTTTAAAGCCCCTTTATAAAGTACTAATATTACCTGCTATAAAACCTTTAAACAGTATAGATATTTGTCATCCCTCTCTGGTAGCCTTGAGTTGGATGGCTGAATTACTGTTATGCAGTAATTATCTCTGTCCTATATACATTAAGAGTATCTCTTAACAAGAAGATAAGATACTTTTGTTTTTTTTCTATATCGGTCCTTAGATACTGTCTAGTATAAATGATATTTTTGAGTTATATGTACTTCCCCTCCTGTATTTTATACTGTTTTGTTCTGAGTTAGCTACAGATATTTGAAAGATTTTACCTTGAACAAAAAAGTTCTTTGTAGACATTAGGAATTATTTCTTATTAACATATTTTGGTTCACATTTGTGGTATGCTCTGAAGCCAATAAAAATCTTTAGAAACATAGCCAAGTTTTTCACTGAAATGGAGAAAAAGGGTCCTAGAAACAGGATATGTGTTTTAAGTCTTGTGGTTTGTCTTAACCATATACCTTGTTATTTCCCCAGGTGGCTTGTGGCTTAAACCACACATTGGCAGTGTCAGCAGATGGCTCCATGGTCTGGGCTTTTGGAGATGGTGACTATGGAAAACTAGGCTTAGGAAATTCCACTGCAAAATCTTCACCTCAGGTCAGTATTGTTTTTAGACTGTTTTCAGACAACAAAAATAGTTTTCATTTATGTCAGTACTTACTTTAGTTGGAAATAATTTACCTTTAACATTTTTGGTAATTCATAATGAGGTTTAGAAGCTTCTGTTGCTCATGCTTGAATCCCCAGCATCCTAGGTCTTGGTTTAAAATAATCCGTTAATAACTAAAATAAGGATAACAAGGATAAGCTTCTGGTTTCCCTAGAGGGGCTGAACACTGTAGGATTACCTCCAAATGCAGCAGAGAGGGATAGGTAGAAATTTATCTCCAGGGCATCTTACAGAGGTAACCATGAGTAATCCTTTGTAATCCTCTGTTCACAGCTGCTATTTTGGCTTATTATTACCCTTGAGTTATATAGGTATGCATCTCCTTTTAAAAAACAATGTAAAGGAAATACAAGTGCAGAAACAAATAATTAAAAGCTACTTTTCAAATTATAGACGATTTCTTGACTCTGCAGAAGACTTCCTAGGCAATTCTTCCATGTGGATTTTCCTGACATTTAATCAACAGCATGATTTACATATCTTCAATTTATAGTCAGCTTCAGATTAACGATTCTATGTTGTCTGTGACATCTTGATGGCTAGACTAGTTAATATTCAGAGAAGCCTTCTTTGGGGAAACATATAAAGCAGTTATTGTCACCTGTGAAAGTTAAAATAGTTTAATAGGAAGTAGGCCATGGCTTCACATGGTGTCGCAATGTTTTTTAAAAGGAATTTCTCTTTGAAACTCTTGCCCAGAGAATGCTGCTACTTCACATGGGGTCCTAGGAATATCCCCCTGCTTCTGTGCCTGCATACTCCCTCTCCTAAATTCAGTTAGTTTTTACAACAGTAGGAGAAAATAACTTTTAGGAGTGTGGATTTGGATGGAATAGGTAGGTGACTATTAATATTTTTACTGGAAGATATTTCTTTATATGTGCGCATAGGCAAATTCAAGAATGTTTTTGTTTTCCTTTTTAAGTTTTAAAGTTTATGCCTTATACTTTATTTTGCAGAAAGTTGATGTCCTTTGTGGAATTGGAATAAAAAAGGTTGCTTGTGGAACTCAGTTTTCTGTTGCTTTAACCAAAGATGGTCATGTATATACTTTTGGTCAAGGTAAGACATTTTTCAGATTACATTGCTTGTTTTGTGTATACATGCGTTATGAAAACATTTGCCTTCCAGTGTTACAGAAAGTGCTGTAAATCAAGTCCTTTTTTATTCTGGGTGGCAAGTAACCATTACTTACTAGACTATTTTTCTGTTTTGCTTTTATGAACTTTTTTGTAAAGACAAACTTCCCTTCCCATTAAAGCCCCTTATGTAGAGCCTTCACTCTTGATAGAAGATTTCCTGCCAAGGTCCCTCCCTTCCTCCTTTCTACTACCTCCAACATGCTGCCAAAAGTACTACCTTGACCACTAGAGCTCTTCTGTGTTCTTTTGAGAAATCAGGGCTACAGATCTTAGGAATGGGAGGAATTCATAGACATTTATGGTTTAAATCTTAAGTAGGCTCCTAACTCAAGCGTTCACGGTGAGACTTGTTGGCAATATAGTCACCTTCTTAAGTGGAACTTCTTGGCTAGTTCAAGGGGCTGAGAGGCATGTGAGACAGGAGTGAGGAAGGGGAAGAATTAAACCATGACTGAAGTTTCTAGTTATGGAAGAATGTTGATGTCAATAACTAAGGACATTAACTATTTTGTGGGGAAGAGATGTAAGTTTGGGACATTATAACTGCATAATGGTAGTAGTTAAACCCTTATTAAAAGTATCTAAGAAACAGGGAGAGAGTATAGAGGACTCTAAGGAATGTAGGTAAAGAGAAGGTAAGCAGAGGAAGAGGATTTAGGAAAATTGGCTTTGTAAGGAGTAGTAAGAGAGGTAGCTGGTGCACAGTCTCTGAGAGGTAGGAGGGGCTGAGGCCACATTATCAAAATGTTACTTGGTGTTCCCTTGGGCCTAAGAAAAGGCCCCTGCAGTTAGGCAACAACTTTTGAGAGTACAATTTCAGTGTAGCATTGAAAGTGACGTTCAGGTGTCCTCAAACTATGGCCCGTGGGCCACATGCACCCTGCCTAGGACATTATCCAGCCTGCTGGGTGTTTTTGCCGCCACTGCCTGTCCTGTTTAGCAGCCGACTGATCTCGGGACCCGCAGTCTGGCCCTCCAATGGTCTGAGGGACAGTGAACTGGCCCCCTGTTTAAAAAGTTTGAGGACCCCTGAAGTTAGGCTGCAAAAAGGTGAACAGGCCAAATGGTCCTAGAAGACATTGAGCCTCAGAGGCTACTTAGCACATTGTAGAAGTTTGGCAAGGTTAAGGGGAGAGGTTGGATGGAAGTTTGATTTGGTTTTCTTTCCATTTGTGAATAAGGAGACTGTGACATTTTGTAAAGAAACAGCTTTAAACTTTTTATTTATACAAAATCTGGTATACCTTGCCAGAATAGCAGAAAAATCAGAATAGCAGCTTTTGCCCCAATGAATTACATATGTGATTGCTCTTCTACCACAAAAGTTAAAGGATTAATTAGTAAATATAAAAGGATGTGATATGCCATCCATAACATTTCCTCTTGCTGTTTTTTTCAGATCGCTTGATCGGCTTGCCAGAGGGGCGTGCTCGCAATCACAATCGACCACAGCAAATTCCTGTCCTGGCTGGAGTGGTCATTGAAGATGTAGCAGTTGGAGCTGAACACACACTTGCTTTGGCATCAAATGGAGATGTGTACGCCTGGGGGAGCAATTCAGAAGGACAGGTAAGTATTTATCTTTCTTGCTGCTCTCATATTCTAGAAATCTGACAATGTTCCTCATTTGGGAAAGGGATAAGCTAGAAAACTCATAATATCTAACACTAAGCTCTAAGAATCACTTTGCCACAGGATTAATTATTTTGTGAGTCTAGTTATGTAGCTCTCTGTGTTTTAATTGTGGCCAAGAAGTATTATACCATGATTTTTTAAAAATTCTGGCAGTATAGCAGAGTGAATAAGATCAACTGAAGAATGTGTATGTATGTGTCTACACACACTTTTAAAAATTTTATTTTAATTTAAAAAAAATTTTTTTGGGCTCAGTACCCATAGCTCAGTGAGTAGAATACCAAAAAGAATAAAAAATATTACTTTTTTTTTTTTTTTTTTGAGACAGGTAAGAGTCTCACATTGTCGCCCTGGTTAAAGTACTGTGGCTTCATAGCTCACAGCAACCTCAAACTCATAGGATCCAGCAGTCCTCTTGCCTCGGCCTCCTGAGTAACTGAAACTACAGGTGTCTGCCACAATGCCCCGTTAATTTTTTTTATTTTTATTAGAGATGGTGTCTTGCTCTTGCTCAGGCTAGTCTCAAACTCCTGAGTTCAAGCAATCCACCTGCATTGGCCTCCCACAGTGCTAGGATTCCAAGTATGAGCCACTGTGCCTGGCCGTGTCTACACACATTGATAAGGCACATAGTAAACAGTACTATGTATTTGCTGTTGTCACCATTGTCACTATTATTACTGTAATACATAAGATTAGATCTTGGGAGCATCAGTTGATCTGGGAAGTTGTCACCCCCATTATTCAGCTAAGCTTCTTAGAAGTTGAGAAAAGACTCAAGAGGTTGACTTGTTCAGGCTCCTCTGTCTATGGAGGAAGGAGAGATCTTGGTGGCAGGTGTTTGAGATGTCTGCTATGACAGTAGCTTTTAGCTCCATATACAGAACCATCTCCTCTTCTTCCATAAGCCCTCTCTGAGTCTGGCTTATCCTGCCAAGGGACCCTTAGTTTGATGATCTGACATTATTCATAGTAGTCTCAGTTTGGCTGCCTGTAGTCAGCTTATCACTACATTAACAGAAGCCAGAGAATTAATGTCGAAGATACCTTGGGAGTACTCTGCTGGTACCATGACTTGATTTTTCCTAACGACATTGGGTTGCTTAGCTGCTGAAACACTGGGTATCCCAGTGAGACCCTAGGAATAGAGATTTGGAGATAACAATGTCCTTCTATGTATGTTTTTATTTGCATTTATTGTTATGCAGAAATCATTGTGTTTTAAGTAAATTCTCTATAGATCATTCTGTTACTTTTTAACGTTCCAAGAATTCATTGCTTTTTAAGAAAAGGATGTGTTCAATCACTAAGACTCATTTGCTAGATTTGGAATGGCTTTGTTGCAACTTAGGTTTTAGGAGACAGTCTGAACTGTGAGGACTACTATGATAAAGAAAATCAGAATTTATTTAATTATCAATGCTGATACTTGGTACACATATTAACTTATTTATATCTGTACCATCTCACCTTGACTTTCTCTCTTCCTCTTTCTAATTGAATCTCTGTGTATTTTTAATTTATTCCCAGCTGGGCCTAGGCCACACCAACCATGTTCGAGAACCAACCTTGGTAACAGTTCTACAAGGGAAAAACATTCGGCAGATCTCGGCTGGCCGTTGCCATAGTGCTGCATGGACAGCACCACCCGTGCCGCCAAGAGCACCAGGTGAGGAATGAAATATCCGTGCTCCTGCTGCTTCTCTTTTAGCAATACCCCACTGCACTGTCTGCTTGCCAGTTCCAAAGTACATCCAACATTATTTTGAAACCAATAAGCCTCCCCCACACAACCAAAGCATTCTTTGTGCTACCAGCACTGTAAGTTCGTTAATAGTGGGCATTTCTGTTGCTGACTTCAGTATGAAGCAGTCTCTCTCTACACTCCCAAAGGAATAAAACATATTATTTATGCAAGTAAAAATGTATAATTTTAGAGGAATGACTAAACATTTTTGTATATTAAAAAAATGACGAATTATAGCATTAAAAGACCCATTGTTAAGAATGAAGATTAAAAGCCCCGAGACCATATGTCAAATTCTTCACCCTAGTTAACCATTTGAAATTTGATGTCTGGCTCGGCACCTGTGGCTCAAGTGGCTAAGACACCAGCCACATACACCTAAAGTGGCGGGTTCGAATCCAGCCCGAGCCCACCAAACAACAATGATGGCTGCAACCAAAAAATAGCTGAGTGTTGTGTG